TATACTTTCTACGACAATCCAATTGTTTAAAGCCCAAAATCACCAATCTGGATGTCACACTAGATTGTCGCATAAAGAACACCAGTCTCAACTGATAGGAAAAAAAAAGGCTTATCTCAATTTTCATCAATTCTCACATTTCCCTTAAAACAGCTTGAATCGCTTCTCGATTTTCTTGATATCCTTTCCCTCCAAAGCCATCCTCATAACAACAAGAGATTTGAATAAGAAGTGACGAAGATAAATGTAGATTCTCTGAATGGTAGAGGATTACCGTAAAAGCTTGTAATTTGCTAACCATTTTCTTTCCATTTGAACTCTTTGAGTACTTCTGGTGAGAAAGCATGTTTTGGATCTAAAAGGGAGGACTGTACTTTGAAATCTAAAGCGATATCGAGCTAATTTAGCTTAGGGTCTATTTTATTTTCTTGCAATTGCATCTAATCGAGTAGAGTCGATAGAAACTCATCTTTCTGCTACACTAAATACTCGTCAAGTCAACATTACAGTACTCCAGATGCTAAGGATTACGATAGATTCATTTCTAAGCCGGTTACAGTACGCTAATTACGATAGATTCTGTTCTAAGGAACAAGGTATCCTCTTTTCTAAGGATTATGGTAGATTCAGTCTAGATTCAGTTACGATTCAGCTACAGTATCTCTAGATACCTACAGTACCCCCAGATACCTACAGTATCCCTAGATACCTACCGTACCCCTAGATACCTACAGTATCCCTAGATACCTACAGTACCCCTGGATACCTACAGTATCCCCTAGATATCTACAGTATTCCTAGATACCTACAGTACCCCCTAGAAACCTACAGTACCCCGAAAAACCAAAAAAAAGTGCACCCACTTGTGCACATTTCGATTCCCGTTTCATTTCCCATCTCCCCATGGTGATTCATGTAGATTTTCGCGAGTTTCTCGATGTCTTTCGACGCATTTTCCGATGCTGCTGATATGTAGCGGATCTGAATCAGAGTTAGGCTTTTTTGATAGGCTTTTTAACTCTCTGAATCTCGATGAAAACTGTGCGCCAAAAAACTGTGCGCCAAAAACTGTGTGTTCCCAAAAAAAATTTCACCTTTATTCCTCCCGTTGAAAAGATCAACACCAAATCGAATTCCCCAATTTCCTCAACGATCTAAAGATATTCAGAGATTCAGAGATTCAGAGATTCAGAGATTCAGGGGGATTAGTCTTTTAAACAAAGACAAAGTCAAAGACAAAGACAAAGAAAAAGAAAAAGATAAAGACAAAGACAAAGACAAAAACAAAGACAAAGACAAAGATTTACCTTTTCAATGACTTCTTGAAATCCCTCAGTTCCTCGATAATCATAACATAAAGAAATCGGTTTTGGGAGTGAAGGAAGAAAATAAATGGAGAAGCTGAAAAATTGCATTTCATTTATTAATCTAAATCTTTTCTAAAGTGTCTAAAAAGTTTCCAAGAAAGCTACCGTAACCCTGTCTAATTTAAATCACATTTAAATCACAAAAAAAAAAGATTCTATTCTCATTTTAAGCTATTACCTCAAGTAGGTTAGCTTTTTCTCGTGGGCATCTTTTAGAAAACGAATTATTTTCGTTTCGAATTCATTTTCGCTTACAACAATTCGCTTACAACATCTATTTAGCTCTATTTCTAAACGAACTTCTCTAAGATTGTCGCCTTTTCGCGAGAATTCCCCTCTTGACACCATTCAGCAAGCATTTCATACACCAAAGTGTTCGTTTTCTGAGAAACGTTTTCAAAATCTTCGTTATTCTTTCAAAAAAAAAAACCTCGGAAATCGACAGAATAAGCGCTCTTTTCGGGGCATTCCCGCGTTTCACACGACTCAATCTGTAGACAGAATGCGGCACTTTTTCGGCACATTTTAATTTATCCTAAAATTTATTCACTTTTTTCAATTGAAAGAACAATAATTTTGTGTTTATTGAAAGAACAATAATTTTGTGTTTATTCTAAAAGTTTCAATTGGAAAAGAATCAAAAAAAGAAAGGTTTTGTGGCAATCCAATGGTCGAGGGTTCGATTCCGGGTCAAGTTATTTTTTTTTTAATTTCCTAAAAAAACAACCTTATTGCATTTTATGATAATTTTTAAAGCTGATTCCGAAAAATATTATTTCAGCACAGGTTTCCCAGCACAAAAACCACAAATAAAGTCAATTTTTTTTGAAATTTGGGGTTTTTAGAGCTCCGAGCCAAACTGATATTTTAGTTACTATTGTTATTATTGAATGATTTGTCTATTCTTATGCAAATGTGTTCTCCCCTGTGCTTATCCCTTTTATTGCCGAGAAGGGGCGGTCCTTAGGATTGCCTAGGAGGACAAGTGAGACTCATTTTGGAGTCCCCCCCCTTCCCCTTAGACTCATTTGTAATCTATTCGTCTTATTGTACTACCGTAAATAAAGATACATATCTTCCGGGTCTATGCAACTGCAGTACAGGTTGGTCATTTCACAGGGACTCCCCTCTAATACGTTGGAGGAGTTGAGTTGGGTTGTCGGGGTGTTAGAGATGGTGGGATATCAAAAAGGGATCCACTCTTTTTAACTTAACCCAAATTCTAGTCCACATCCGTTTACACCTAGGAACGAATAGGTTAAAGTTCAGTAGTAAAAGCTCAATAAAAGTGCAGCAAAAACTTTGAAAGTTGATGAATCGACAAACAGTTTTTTTTCCCATTCAATCCGCTAGATAATTAGCTTTGAAGTGAGCTATTACACGATCAAATCAGGCAAATTTATACGATCAAATCGGGCAAATTTAAAACCGTCTTCCAAAAAAACTCAGCGGGGGGGGGGGAGAGAAAAAAGGGAAACTTCCCAACCCAATAGAAGACCCAACTAAAGACCTAGAAGACCTAGAAGACCTAGAAGACCTACTAAAGACCCAACTAAAGACCTAGGAGACCTAGAAGACCTACTAAAGACCCAACTAAAGACCTAGAAGACCTAGAAGACCTACTAAAGACCCAACTAAAGACCTAGAAGACCTAGAAGACCTACTAAAGACCCAACTAAAGACCTAGAAGACCTAGAAGACCTAGAAGACCTAGAAGACCTAGAAGACCTAGAAGACCTACTAAAGACCCAAAACCAGGAGACCTAGAAGACCTACTAAAGACCCAACTAAAGACCTAGAAGACCTAGAAGACCTACTAAAGACCCAAACCAAAAGACCTAGAAGACCTAGAAGACCTAGAAGACCTAGAAGACCTACTAAAGACCCAACTAAAGACCTAGAAGACCTAGAAGACCTAGAAGACCTAGAAGACCTAGAAGACCTACTAAAGACCCAACTAAAGACCTAGAAGACCTAGAAGACCTAGAAGACCTAGAAGACCTAGAAGACCAACTAGAAGACCTAGAAGACCTAGAAGACCTAGTAAAGACCCAACTAGAAGACCTAGAAGACCTAGAAGACCCTAGAAGACCTAGAAGACCTAGAAGACCTAGAAGACCTAGAAGACCTAGAAGACCTAGAAGACCTACTAAAGACCCAACTAAAGACCTAGAAGACCTAGAAGACCTAGAAGACCTAGAAGACCTACTAAAGACCCAACTAGAAGACCTAGAAGACCTAGAAGACCTAGAAGACCTACTAAAGACCCAACTAAAGACCTAGAAGACCTAGAAGACCTAGAAGACCTAGAAGACCTACTAAAGACCCAACTAAAGACCTAGAAGACCTAGAAGACCTAGAAGACCTAGAAGACCTACTAAAGACCCAACTAAAGACCCAAAAGCAAAAAGAAAGAAATCTAATCAAAATCAACGAATCAAATCAAAATCAACTTTCTACAAACCTCCAAAATCGTCAATCCATTTCCCGTTGCAAAGACGATGTCTTTCGGAAAGAAATGCTCGGTCGGGAAAGCTGACGGAATCACCGAGAATTCAGAAACACGATCGATGCGACCCTTCGACGAGAAATCCCTCAAAATCGGCAAATCATACGTGCGCTTTACGGTGAATCTAGAGACAAACGAAAATCCAACAAAAGATTTAAAATTTCACTAAACCTGTCCACTTCTGCCGAAAATACGGATTGACTAAAAATGATTAACAGTAAAAACAGTAAAAAAGTTAGCATTTTCAAAATTCTCAAAAACATTCCCAATAAGAGTTCAGAGATTTCTATCAAAAAAAAAGGAAAAAGGGAAAAAGGGAGAAAAGCGGACAATGGTGGAAAATTTTCGAGAGAAATCTTTTTGGCAGAAATTTCTCCTTTTCAAAAGTGATGTGAGCTTTGAGAAAGAGAAGAAATGATGCTCAAAGTGATAAAAGAAAACGAAAGAGCTTTTATCGTTTTTCGCATTAACTGCAACACAACTCCAACTCCAACTCTTAACCTGGCGCTCTTAGCCAACTCCAACTCTTAGCCTTTCAAACAATCCCGCTCATTTTCAAACACCAAGGCATTTTCTCGAGTACAAACATGATCATCCCACTAATCTCACTCGAAAAATTGTAAACTTTATTTTCGGTCAATCCTCGCGTCACGACACACAAATATATCATACAAGACAAGACTATGTAAAGGAAATTTGAGAAAAACGAACGAATGAACGAAAGCTCTAGGCTAGTTGTCAAAAAAAAATAGATAACACAAAAAAAAGGGAGCACAAAAACACAAATAAATCACAGTACTGTCAACACAAATCAACACCGGATTCGAGAAATGAGGAAAGAAACATTCAAATTGAAGATAAATCGAAGATAAATGGATGGATAAAGATGTAAGGAAAATCGATAAATCTCTCACGGAACTCCCTCTTTTGTACAAATTAACACAAGAAATGAAAGAGAAAGAGAAAGAGAGACAAGAATATTTTGTGATTAAATAGAAATCAACACTAAATCTTTTTTTTTGGATAAGATTAAAAAGTGGTGAAAAACAAAACGAAAATCGACCTGTACTCGGGAAATGATATCGCCATAAAAGTCGATCGAATCACAGACGAACCACGGGTTAGATGAGATCCATTCCGCTAGCTGTCGATTCGGCAGCCTTCTCCTCAGTGCGTCGCTCGTAGTTGACGAGTTGAGTGCCGACGAGATATCTGAAAGTCGCCACAGACGATTAGTTTGAAGAAAACCTAAGAAAGCCGCATCGAAGAGATCCGATACTCGAACTCAAAAATATTCCTCCAATTCCTCACTTCTCATTCCTGATATGTTGAGCGAGGGCTCCCAGTTTGTGAATTTGCCAGACGACAAACACAGCCACACCGATCACCGAGAGGCAAAATGGGTACGAGAAACGAAGCACAACCACCGCCTCATCTGGAGATGCTCCTGGAACAACAAAAGAGGATGTTTCAGTAAAGATGTTTTTGAGCTTAACTTTCATAAAAGCGTACAAGATAAGTACCCGAAATTTCCCCACAAATCCAAAAACCCACCCAATAACGTGTTCAACAAGTGTCCAAGCGCATACGGGGCAGCGATTTGCATTGAAAGAACAACGATCACCGGGATCAAAACCTCGCGATAAATGAAACGCACATCTAGCGCCGGGACGCCTTGTTGATAGATCTGAATTGTCACTATTGTAAAAGATAATTTTGATCATAAAACCTGCTCAAAAGCGGCCCTCATCCACCACTCCGGTCCCATCATCACTGCAGCGACGAAAATCTTCATGTGTAACACGCCCATCGCCCACTCTTGCCACGGGAAATAGATTGGTGTCTAAACAGTCAACAATGAAACGCATAAAAGTGATCAAAAAAAATAAAACTCTCACCTGATCAAGTCCAACTCGCAACGGAGCAACGACGACAAGTTGAAATGAGAGACCGATGAGATATGGGATGACGAAAAGCGCCGGGAACAACACCAACAACATTCGGCCGACCCAACGAAGAGTCGAGTGGAATCGTGCGGAGAGTTGCGCACGGCCACGATTGAACCACTCGATGCACGTTGCTGAGAACTAAAAACGACAATATGTGTTCACATATTTTATGACTCAAATCAGTTTAGATTTTCCGAAAAGCTAAAGTTCCGAGAACTATCACTATCTATGAAAACAAGCCCACCTTCGCGAACAGCCAACAAATGTACAATCCCGAGCTGATCGTATACCTAAAATTAATCTGTGCCTGGAGATTAAAAAGTCAAAACATACAACTCATGAACGTTTTTCGTTGCAGCAACCGTGTAGATAAAGAAACGACCAATTAGAACTAAATAACGGGAATAAATATTCATCTTGATAATAGAGAAAGCTACCAGGTATAATGAAGCAAAGAGTGCTGATGAAAGTTGCCGAAACGGAGAGCGCCACCAATAGGGCAATGATGCGAAGTGGAAACACTGACGGGCGTTGGTAGGGCTCGTATATCATCGGTTCTCTCAAAACAAAAAAAGAAATTTAGGATTTAAAGAAAGTTATCCGGTTGCTAAATTAAACGATATCAGCCGTAAAAATATTTTGCTTTGCAAGAAAACATTGATCTCTTTGATCTAATCAAGAAAAAATTACCTGAGAAGCAAAAGAGCTTGATGTTCCGCCGCTAGACCGCCGTTTCCCATTAAGCCGTCATCATCTAAAAATAGAATATTGGTGAAAAGCGTCAAATTTTGCACTATCTCATCAATCTTGCTCCCATTTCAATGCCCTACCTCCAATGTCAATCTGTGGATTGATCTGTGCTTGTGCATTTTGTTCCGCTATTCGTTCTTCTCTTTCCACTTCTCTTTGTCGTTCCACTTCAGCTGGATCTTCTCCAAGATCAGCCAGTTCGTCGATCAGATTCCTCTCATCAGGCCCATGTTGTTGTTGTTCGGGTGGTGGTGGTGGTCGCTGCTGTTGTGGTGGATGATTTTCCGACAAAAGATATTGATCCAAATTCAGCACTCGTCCCACAACCACGCACCATGCTCTGGAATGAAGTTTCTATTTCGAATTTTTTTTTTCCAAATCTATAATTACAATTCGCCTCACTTTTGGTTTCGACATTCCCCTCTTAACATTCCGACTTACCGAACAAATTTCTTCAGCACAACTCGCGCGCTCGTTTGTTCAAGAAGAGCGGGTAGAACAATCTGAAATTTTCAAAAAATAACTTTTCTTCAAACAACACCTTTCAAATACCTGTAAAATCAGCAACTCCAAGCTCAATTCACTCAACGGCGTCTCGGCAGTCAAGCTCAAGTTGTAAGGCAAGATTTGTGGAGTAATGTTCTAAAGTTATGACGCGTTTAGAAGATATGCATTTAGAAACTACCTGAATGATCCTCAACGGAACATAGATGACCAGCAGAATCGCCATGAAGAACAATGACTAAAGGAGAGAAAAGGTTGACCAATTCGAAATTCATTTACCGTTGAAGCAACAAGACGTCGTAAATGCCGAGAAACGGGCAATTCGATCATCTAAAATTAGAGATTCAGATTAGAAACTTTTTTAAACGAGCTAGATTTTAAAAAACCCACCTCCATGATTGGATTGAACTCGGGGTCATTGAGATTCCTCATAAACCATAAAACTCCAGGTCGAAGCACCTGAAAACGAGCTTTATTAGATGGATTGATCTGTGCTTGTGCATTTTGTTCCGCTATTCCTTCTTCTCTTTCCTCTTCTCAATTCAAAAGGTCAACAAATTTTTGTTCACAATTTTACTTCATTTCACTCACCTCTCTCAGCAACAAAACGAATGAGGCCGAGTAGAAAACATAGATCATTCCAATCATCCAATGAATGAAGAGTGAAGAAGTCGGCGATGCAGCAAAAGAATTGATACGAGATGATAGGGTCGCTTGGAAGAGCACCTAAAAACAGTAATATCTGAGCTGAAGTAAACAGTAATATTAGCTAAACTTTCAAAAAACACTCACCAATGAGCAAAGATCCATCCACCAGCCGCAAAGTATCGGAAAAGCAGCTGAAACATGTAAAAAATGCTAAAAAAAAGCTAGTCAGTCAACTCACCAATTTCAACTAAAACAAGAAGAAACACCTTCAAAACCAAGTAGACGATTCCCAATAAACGATAAAGACTAAAAATGAGAGGTAAAATGATAAATGAATCTTCACAAATACCCCTTGAACCGCAACGCTCCACAGATACCGTGCACAAAGAAGACAATCACTGAGATCGCAAGATAACCTAAAACTTGTTCATTTTGTCGCTAGTATCAGTTTTTTTGTTTTAAACAAACCTGTAAGAATTGAGGCAAGTGATGGGAAAAACGTGATTTTCGCTCGAATGCCCGTCGCTAAGAGAATCCATGAGCCAAGTTTGAATGGAGAAAAAGCTAAACAAAACAGTTTATTAAAAAAACATTTAATTCAAAAATTACCAAATAGGACGGTGAACAAAGTGTTAAGCGCGATCACCCAAAAGACGTGTTCGATGAAGACAAATGAGCCGTCAAGACCGATGAGTCGCTGAAAGCATCAATAGTAAATAGATCGAATTTTTCCCATCACCCAACCTGCCATGTCAACTCATCTCCCAATCGATCCCAATCTCTCCACCCCTCCTCGGCGGCCGGACCCGGATCGGCTTCCGCCCCTGGTTGTCCCTCTTCAACGTGTGCATCGCCTAAATATGGGGATTTCCGTTAACTGTTGATAATGCATGCGCTTTTTTGACGTTACCTTCATTCGAATTCGTATCATCCTCTTCTTCGTCTTCATCCGATTCATTATCACTCGTACTTATCGATTCTGTAGACTCATTGCCATCAGTCGTTTCTAGAAACGATTCAATTAACAATTCAAGAAATCCAAGCTCAGACCTTGTTCTGGGTTCTGAAACAGAATTTGTTCTTCACTTGGTAGAAAATCGACTTGTTCCTCCGGTAACTCTTCACGAAGAGGGGCTTGCTAAAAGTTGATTGTCTAAACGGTACAAATTAACTGATAACCTCAACAGAAGCGTGCTCTTGTTGATCGTGTGCTACTTGTTCTTGTTCTTCGTGCTGTTCGTGCTGTTCTTGTTGTCCTTGTTGCTCTCTTGCAGCAACTCTCCTTTCTCTTCGTTCTCTTCTCCTCCTTTGAACATCGCCGTCTTCTCCATTGTCCATATGCACATCTAATTGAAGCCATTCCTGAAAAATGGAATAGAAAAATGAAAGAAGCCAAAAATGTTCTTCTTGGATCAATCTGCAAATGCTTTCACCTGTGGTCCGCCGTGAATGATTTGCTCCCTCAGCCAAACCAATGACACAAATGTGCAAACAAAAATCGCCAAGAGGAAAATTCCCTAAAGTAAATTAGGCAAATTACATCAAAAAGCTTGGCTTATTACCTTGACACAATCCGCCAAAACGTTCTCCGTATTGAAAATGTGCAACGGAAGAGCGATAATGTTGTGGATATTCGCAGAGAAAACAGCCTAAATTCGGAATTTGAAAAAGCCGGTGATCGGTTTTTTTGAGTCGTGTGCCGTGGTGAGCCGGTGACGCGGTGGGACACTGACTGGAGAGTCGGGAGAAACTCTATGGTGCGTCCACTTCGCGGGCGCCTCTTTCCCGCCACCCGCACTACAGTTATAGCGGGATCTTCCTAACCCATTCTCAAAGTTACAGCAATACCCCTTGATCCCGGGCCTCTTGATCCCGTACAGGTTAGTATTTTTCTGTCTTCAGATTCCGGATCAGCGTAGTCGAAAACCCCGAATACAAATTTCCAGCCCAAAAACCCACTCCTTGAATCAAACAGGACGGACAGACAAACGAACGGACAGACAGACAAACGGACGGACAGACAGACGGACGGCCAAACGTAATTATACCTATAGAATAGAAAATTAAGCTATTCTATTCGCCATCAAGTAAAATGACATCAAAAATCATTACCTGATAGATTCTAGCAGCCGTCAATGGCACAATGCCCACCCAGGCAAGTAAAACGATCGTGTAGAGAAGCCAAGTTTTCACAATACGTCCAACGCTTCCCATGATACCTGAAGCAATAATTTACTCTATTTACTCCCCCCAAAAAAACCAGCAAACCTTTCACAATTTCCACAATTGGCAACACTTTTGGCATATCTGATCGATAGATGGGTTGAAAGCTGTACATGTAATTTTATTTATCTGTTAGCAACAAAAGAAAAAACAATCTATTCCACGCAACAATTCCCGTTTTTTTTTTCATAAAATCACCGTACCTGTACTTGTAGTTACACAATTCGCAGACCTAAACCAAACAAAAAAAAATTTCGTTAAGTATATCCGAATATTCGTTTACCTCTTTCTTGCTGTACTTGAGCCATTCCACTAAGCACTCCTGATGAACAAATTTGATGGATCCAGTGCAGAGACACGGATAGTAGAGATGACCCTCATCATTTCGGCATACACGGCACATATCTAAAAATAAAATGCGTAGTTTAAAAAGCCATAATAACCATTTTGTTATTTATCTCGAAAGCCAACTAGTCAACTAGTCAACTAGCCAACTAGCCAACTAGCCAACTAGCCAACTAGTCAACTAGCCAACTAGCCAACTAGTCAAATTAAGTCAACCCTTACGATGTTCTTGATCATCATCCTCATCATTGTTTGCTGCTTGTCGCACGTCTTCCGCGCTCGTTTTCCCATCATTCGATGTGCCCGGCTAAAAGCAATGAATTTCATCAATAAATCAATGAATTTCATCAGTAAAGCAATGAATTTCATCAATAAACCACCAAAACCCCCTCATAAAGAAGCACCAAACCTTCTCACCTCATTCTCTCCATTCTCTCCATTCTCTCCAATCTTCACATGTTCTTCTTTGTGTCCCGTTGTTTCCAATCCATTCGCCACATCCATACGTGAAGTCTGAAATGAGAAAACGTTTCATTTGTTGAGAAAAGAAAGGTGGAAGAGCACGAAAAGGGGACTGCAATTAAAACAATGAAACTTTCTCTTCAAATGCTCACTACAGTTTTAAGCATGGAAGTACATTGCAAGGCCTTCTACAAGTCTTCTACAAATGTGTTATCGTGTGCTCAACAGCTCTGCAAAGTTCTAATGAGCTCAACAGCTCACTAGAACTTTGCAATTGATGCTTCTATCAAACTCTTCAGTGAAGTCCTCGGATCATACCTCAAGGAAGTCCTAAAAGGCACAAATCAAATGCGTCATTTGTAAAGAAACGGAACGAGGGCGGAAAGTTGATGAAAAAACTGCGCAAGTTTTGACATTCGGCAAGTTTATCGGTCGAAACCAATAGAAAAGGCTTCAAATCATCGAAACCAGTTTAAGCATATTCTTGCGCCTCTACAGCACACCATCAATTTCACAATTTTTCACCAAAGATAAACGTTTATTACTGTCTCCCATAACCTATCACACAATGTACATCCACTAATACCCATACCGCCGAAATTTTATCACAAAATGAATGAAAAGACAAAAAACAAAAAAACAAAAAAAAAATACAAATGATAATTTAATAAAAAAACCCTACTTTTTTCGTCGATTAACTAATCCTAGATTTTCCGTGAATGTTTGAAAAGAGAAATGATCGGTGATTGATTGATGTGGATCTTGCTCTTGTTGTTGTTGTTGTTCGTCGGCATTCAACTCTGTGAGCCGTTTCTTGATGAGCTCATCGAGTTTTTCAGGTAATGATGGAGGTACAGCTTTGAGATAGGCAATTTCTTCGTCTCTCTGAAAAAAAATACATTTGAACTCATCAAAGTTAGATCGACCGAGAGCTTTAAGACTAATTTAAGCTTTCTAGTACAACAATAAAGAGAACAAGTTACCGATTTTATCGCAATTAGATCAAGAAAAGCCTCTGAATTCCCATCCAACAGCGTCCACAAAGTGATCACATTGACCGGCGGTCTCAATTCGGTTCCCTCAACAAGAAAACGTACGAGTGACTCAATCGCATCCGGTCCTTTCTAAAAATATCTTTCATATATCATATAAAAATATCATATCATAGAAATATCATAGAAAAATATCATATAAAATATTTTCTGTCATAAAAAATTCTCTTAACCCTTACCGGCAATGGCTTCAACAACGGCGCCAAATTATTCAACTCTGAATCGGAGAAATTCGTCAAGATTTGCGCCAAATAGGTTACTTCGTTGAAGGCACGTTTGAGGTTCAATGACAAGTGATGTTCTGAAAAAAAAAGTCGATAATTACGAAAGTTACAGTACATATTATTATCTATCAAAATGTAAAGCCGTACTTTCCGAGAATTCGGCCAACTTCTTTAAAGCCGGGATCGCCTTTCTTTCCGAGGATTGATCACCAAAGACGGAGAGATACAAACGAAAAGCATCATTTGTAGCGACCAATCGGAAGACAGCCGTTCTGAATATAATTGATTAAATAAATATATGAAATTTTTTTGACAAATCACCTCATGTCCTCTTGAAATTCCTCGATTTTCTTGTGCAAAACGGCGATATGACCCCTTTCCTTGATCAACTTCGATGCGACTGATGGAGATAAACTAGAAAAAAAAAAAAAGGATACTTTTGTTTTGTTTTGTTTTGTCATTCAAAGTCATTCAAGTTTTGCCATTCAAAAAAACTCACCTTGTAATTGCATTTTCTAAACTCGCAAAGTGCACATCATAGGGATTCACCGAGAAATCTTTGGCCAAATCGAGAGCATCTTTGAAAATGAGCTCATCTTCGGTCCTGAACACAATCAAATAACGTTTTTAATCTTACATTTTGATTTTTGTCAAATGTCAAATGTCAATCTTACATTAAAATTCAAATTTTGAAACCCCCACATTGCCAATCCAACAATTGTCTCTTTTCGGTAGTGTATATCCTCGATGAAACGCTCACGATCACAGCCTAAACATTGTGACTTTATTGAAACGAATATCTAGTGATTTACCATAAATCGTTAACCTATCCAAAGCACTACATGTCTCATCCTTTGTCACTCGTAAACTGATCAACTTCTTTGGCGGAATCACTTCAACCTAAACCGGAATAGTTTAAGATTTCTAAAGTTTCCCAACTTACAATCTTATCCGTAAGATTTTGATAATGAAAGTTGATGGCCTCTTCGTAGTTGAGAAGAAAGTCGTTGCTTGTCCACGGGTTGCTTTTAGCTAAATCAGACTCGGATAAATTTATAGGTTATCTTTTTAGACTTGGATAAATTTCTAAGTTGTTTAGAGTTAGAGTTCTAGAATTTATCCGTACCAATTTACTCAATTTATCTATTGGGTTGGGGACTATGACTCGGCGCCGAAAATCAAAAAAATGTCTAAAACTTCTATTCGACTTCGTCAAATAATATGCGTTTGATATCAGTAGAATGGTTAACTAATTCTCTACAAAATGACATTTAAAAGAAAATTCAAACAGCCCCTCCGCTCAAGAAAAAGCCATTTTTTCACAAAAACTACAAACTGTCATCTAGAAAAAACAATTGGTGGGATCTTCCTGCAAATTTGGCAACTTAAGTAATTGAATGTGCTCTATCTTTTTTATATAAACACCAAAGAAGGTTTATGTGAAAGAAACTGTTCAAATGATGAGTCGGGCTCTTTGCCATTTTGACTAGCTGTGTTTGGGAGTCCATAAACTCCACGAAAGAAAAGCTTTGTGGAATCTCTCAAAAGTCATTTTGTAGAGAAATAGTGGATCCTTTTGATGAAACCAAACGTATGTTTAAAGAAGGCTTTATGTGTGCAAAAAGTCCCTTTAAAGTTTGGCGCCGAGTCATAGTCCCCAACCCAATAGAATCTGTTCACAGTTGGCTGTTAAAGAATCAAAACGTTTACTCACCGTTATGCATCAATAGAGCCAATCCGAGTGCATGCGATGAGCTCATTTTTGCCATCAACAAAGCACACTCGTTCGACATCACTTTTCCCCTTTTCGTCTCCTCGAAAAGATCTTTCTCGAATTTCTCGGCTTTCTTTGATGGAATGTAGTGTGCTACCTGAAAGATCCCTGTATCAGTCAGTAATTTCCAAAATCTTTTCTCACCTCACTATACATCGGATCGAGAATCAAATCCGAGCTGATCTCCACGTTTTTCTCATTCAGAAACGATGTCGAAGTGGTTTCTTGTTGCTGCGCTAAAAGTATAAATAGGATTTTGTCGCAATCTTCGATTTCTACTTATCAACTCCAATGTTTTCTCCAATTCATCGCCGGGAGCGTTCAACAAAGCACACGCATAGATATCGTCTCGAAGCTGAAATTTTTAAGCACTCATTCAAGCAGAAATGACTCGTTTACCTCTTGCAGTACAGGCATCTTAATCAATTGAATGCAAAGTTGATAAACCTAAAAGAAGAAAAAAAATGTTTCATTTTGATTTAAACAGATTACTTTCTCAATTCCTCGAGCTTTTGCCATGATTTCTGCCAAATACTTTTGCACAACGTCGATATCATCTAAAGTAGGATAAAATTGCCAGATGCAACAAATGCAACAAATGGGAAGCCATCTGAACAATTGGTTGTGTAGCACCCAAAGCAAAGTACCTCGTTCCAAGGCCTCCAATGCACAAAGTGAGAGCGCTGTCGCAACAGGTGTATCAACTGCGAGAACCACCGCCAATCTCGCGACTTTCTTGCCCTGAATTGAGAGAGACTGACTCTTGCTTGATTCATAAGACTTACCAATTTATAGTTTCTCTCAATCGAGACAACCTCTTCCAGTAGCATGTTTGGCTCAATGTACTGAATTGAAACCGGCATCTTTCTAGAGAGTTATAGATTAGCTAATCAAAACCCTAATCAAAACACATACGAGTATCCCAAATCCAAAGCCAAATCGACGACTTCCAATTTCTTGAGAAAACTTGTTGCATCTTTTGATTTAGGTGAGACAGCGGTAGCCAAAAATCTAAAACACATAATAACAAAAGAGGTTCTTGCACTTTATCGCTCTAAAGCTTTACCTAGCCTTGGACAATAATTGATCGTTTCTTCCAGTCGAATTTTGTAAGAATTCCTCACACTTCTCGAGAACGGTCTAGATGAGACATTTGCGTGGCAAAAAAAAAGTAAAACTTTACTTGAATACTTTTCGAAAAGCTCAATTTATTTGTTGGTGTATCCTTGGACGGACTCAATGCAAGGAAAAGAAGCAACGAGTCGGGCTTGGAGCTAAAGAAAAAGAGGACTAGATCACATCACAAGAAACCTACTAAATCTCATCACAAGCGAGGTACTCTCTGACAAGAATCTCGAGGGCATCTTGCTGATCGAGATTTGGAAACACCGTCTCTTGGAGATACAAAACCGAATCCCGCAATTCCTCCCATTCAGTCTCAGTTTTGCATCGTGCAGAGCCTAAAAGCCTTTTAGTGGTGGAACACCTAAATTCTCTCACCGCTGCTCACAAATTTCAGGAAAATTCCCAGCGCTGCCATCCGATCGTTGAATGCATCAAAAACCGTTGAAAAGGTCGGCTAAACTACGATTTTCAATGAAAACAGTTGCGAAAATTTTACCTTCACATTGTAACGAAGCAAATGCGATAAGCAGAGTTGGTATCGTCGATCGAAATTCAACTCCTTTAGCATCTCGAGCAAATCTTCTCCTAGAAATAACAAAAATAATTTAGCGTTGCAGCCAGCCCTAACACCAACCGGTCTTTTGTGTTTCTTTCAAACAAGCTATCGTGAGTTCTTGGTTCGCCAAATCGGGTCTCAGTTCGTGGAGTTTCAACAAAGTCTAAAAGCAGTATACTGAATTTAATCAAGACAATTTAAATTTTACCCTAGCTCCACTCGGTAAAAGATGGAATAGAAGGGGAGAGAGCAGATTTCGCGTCGTACCAGCAGGGTCCTAAAGAAAAGAAAATAAATTCCAATTGGCAATGTTTATTTTTATCAGCTTCCATTTCTGCTTCCATCAGCTTCCATTTCTAAAGCTCAACGCCTTTCCAATCACCAACCATTTCATTTGGTCCCATTTTCCACGCAATCAATTCGATGATATGATCCAAACATTGTGAAACCTCACCATCGGAAAGCTGAAAAATCAAATTTGTTAGCAAGAGTCTACAAATGTACTTTTGTGTACTGTTGCACAAGTGCTTCGGGTCCCATTTTGAGGAATTTCTCTCGACTTCCCGTTACACTAGAACAGAAATCGATGTGCTTCTGATAGAGGTGCCAGATTTGGAGCTCTGATTGAATATTCTAAAATGAAATGCTCCTTTTACTCTTTACACAAACGAACCACACTATCAAATCCCCGTTCTTGTGCAATGTTGTAGAGTTGAATGACAATGTCGGGTAGTCCACAATCCTCATCAATCTCTTCACCACGACGCCTCAGCCATTCGACGAAATTTCGTTGCCCAGATTGCCTAAAACCATACACTAAATTAATAGTGTTGTTTTTTTAAACAAACTTTTGAATCTTTCGATTATCAAAGCCATTTCCGCAATTCATTTGTTCCACATACAATTCTCCCTCTTCATCAAACGCCAATTCGTTGAGAATTCTGTTGAATGGACTCGGTTTCTAAAGCACGATTATTTGTGGTGAAAGTCAATCGCGATTACCTCAACAATTTGCAATTCAGGTCCTCCGTTTGTCGGCAAAAAGATCTCATATTCCTCGGGTGACACTGATGGTGGGATGAATTCAACAATTGATAAGATGAATGGCGAAAGAATCGAGAGATTGTGCTCAATCAATTGCTCCAATATTCTCAACTCGACTCTCTAAATTACACATTATAAAGTTCAAAAAAAATGACTGCTTGATAAAACCTCAGCTAGATAAACGGCAATCTCCAGCAATGATCTTTCCCTTAACTCCAAAAACATTTCTTGTTCACTAAGCACATCCATCAGACGAGCCAAGTGAAGGATCCGAATTCGTGACTAAATAATTGAATATTTCAAATAAGCATAAACAAATAGTAAACCTCTAATGGCGCAAGATCACCAATATCCAATCCCATTGTGATTAACGCTTGTTGCACATCTCGATTGCTTGTGTTACTCGCCCAACAGGCAGCCGCTCGAAATTCGACATCATTGATTTGTCCCTGAAGAGATCATCAATTAGAGTGAGTTGAATAAACCTAGTCTCACAACTCATATAAAACCGAATTCCCACCAAAACGTCGTCAATCATTTCTATCGTCAGAAGATTTGTTTTACACGCATCTTTCCATTGATTCTTGCGTACAATATCCGAGTCGATTGTCGTGTAGAAACTAGCCAAACTGAGCGCTCGAGAATAGTCTTTCTCGTTCAACTAAATCATCATCATCATCACCATCATCATCATCACCATCATCATCAACAATAACTAAAGACGAGGCTTTATAAACGAACCGTTCTCTCAAAAAGCTCTTGTAGAGTGATGGTTGGTGAATGGGAAAAGATGAATTCAAGCATTTCCACGCGAGAAGCCTAAAAATACATTAAAACCTCGAAAACAAAAACTCTAAGGATTTCGAAAAACCTGTTTGTTATCTAGCTTTATCGAGGTTTTTTTTGCAAGTGAGATTTTGCCTCATAATGCTAAGAAATGCTCTAAAAACAGTAAAAAAAAATGTGCTCTTTGGTACTATTCCTTTTTTCCTTTACACAAATCAGATTAATTTCTTTGCATAACTTTTAGCTGATACCAGAATACAAAATATTCAATCAAACACATCGCGCAAAGAGGCTACGCCATAAACAAAACATAAAACTTGAATGAAAATACTGAAGAACTTCATAAAGAAGTGCTCAAAATGATCAAAATGAGAGAAAGCGACTCCTTTTCTTCGTTCATTACTAAAAGGTACTCAGCTACAGACTGAATAGCTGCTCTTTGAGACGTATTTTAGAATTCAGCTACTTAGTGAAGTGTGGAAAGCCGTAATGTATTTATTATCATGACTAAAATTCTACTAATTTTACTCGTCGAGATACGGAAAAGTCTGTTTGTCAACAAGGCTTTTTTTGTTATCGAAATTTTTCCTAAGGTATTTTGTCAAGAATTTTTTTCATGAGACCTCAAAGTCTTATTTGCTATCGTGGTTTTTATTATCTAAAAGTTTGACTATATTCTAAAGTTTATGCCTCCAAAGTTCTTACTTTTGTCAACGGTGATGCCGGATCTCCGACAGTGATTCGTATCAATTGGATACACGCACTCCAAATTGTTTCAAGCCACAGTCGAACGGTGAATTGGGTTCTCTGTTTGGAGACTTCTTCCATGATCGTGTCAGCACCCTATAAAAAGATTAAAAAATTTTGAAACTTCTTTTCACTTGGTTCTCCAAAGCAAACATTTGTCGAATCGTTGGCGATTGAATTTCGGCTCGGGGTGAGTACCTGAAATACCTCAAATAATAATAATAATAAATACCTCAAAAGGGCTTATTCGTCCAAACAATCTAACCCACTTTTCATCAGTTGTATATTCATGCATTGTGTTGAACAAAGTCTCCTTCGTAGCTCGAATGATCGATCCACAAGACAATAGAACGCAGACTTCCTAAAGAAGAACAGATTTTAAAGTAAGAGAACTACGACAAACATCTTCATCGACAAACTCGACTTGTCGTGGTTTCGATCCCGAGATGTAAGGCACACTGTAGGCAAGGCGAGCAGACGGTAGCTAAATTTGAAGGTACGATAAAGTCTAAAGCGCTTTGATTGACTTTCATTTTTACCTCAAAGACAAAAAGATCTCCCGACGTCGATATCGTGTACAATGTTTTCTCGTTTTGATCCACAGTCATCGAGCAGAGATAGGCGTAACTGCTGAAAATGAAATTGTGCAAAAAAAAAGGTGATCTGTAATTTGTTTGAGACTTTTTCAGCAATGATATGTCCACCAGGCCACAAGAATTTCCATGTTTGTTTTTAACGCATGGTCAACAAGTACAGAAGTTTTGCTTGATCATATCTCTTTAAACCAACCCAAACGAGAAAGGAAGTCTTGATAAAATTGTGGTCATCGTGCTCTGCGTTTTAGCAACTCGAATCGCTTCAACGTGCGGCGGTCCATCAACGAGGCGAAAAGTGCTTAAACCGGCAATCGGTTTTGCGTCCGCTTTCTGTAAATTAATGGTAAATAGCGAGAATTGGTCCTTGTGACTCTTACGCTCACCACTTTACATTTATTCCAATAACACCCCAAATTTGAATAGAATGCGCTTCTTACTTAAGCTAGCCTCTCGATTCAAATATTATTAGATATTAGATTCAAATCTCGATGTGATAATTTTGAAGGGGAAAAGAATTTTCTCAAAATCTTTTCCCATTTCCGAGAGCAGCTTTGAAGCTTTTATAAGCCATAGATTCTTGGCTGTCCGCTTTAATCGACTTGGTCAAAGTGCCATTAGATTCTCACTAAATTTTCTAATTGTTCTATTACTGAAATAAAATCTTTCTTTTTATAAACAACAAAAGTTTATTCTATGCAAATCCTATGCATTCTTTGCAAACCATATTGGGACCATATTGTTGACCGTATCCGAACCATATTGGAACCATATTGGAACCATATTTGAACCGTATCCGAACCATATTGGAACCATTTTGGAACCATATTTGAACCGTATCCGAACCATATTGAAATAAATGTAAAGTAGTGGGTGTAAGAGTCACAAGTATCCAAGAATTCAATAACACCAATAACTAATAAACCTTATAATGTGTCGATACAAGTATCAAATTGCAGGATTGCAAAAAGTAGAACGATCCACAAAGGCCAACATTGAGATTTAGTGAGCACACTTTAAAGTAGCCGCTCAATTTCCTGAAAAAGAGTGTTTACTCTTCAAAACAAACAAACAAACAAAAAAACATACCCTATTTTGTAAATTGAAAAGTTTCCGTTATATTGTAGAACGTATAAATGATCGTAGAATTTGTTTGGATCATCGGAACTCGAGGCGATTGCCACCGTTTGCAGACAACAAACAGCTCCCATTAAATCGAAATTGTTCTCATTACATTCCTAGAGATTAAAAACATAAATTTGTTACAAAAAGATCAAAAGACATACCAAGGGAATCGTGTAACAAAGGTATCCATAACAATCAAAGACATCAATGAAACAATTGCTTCTTGTTGCCAACAATAATAGCGATGAATTCGTGAAATGAAGCATGCAATAGGACGCAAAATCATCATCAGGTACTAAAATGAGAGGATTTTAACGGGTAACTCTATCAAAAACCACTTTCAATCTCGGATTCCGCATACGGAACGTGATTATCGAAGCTGTAAAGTTCCAATTTTCGATCCGGCGAATGGCTCAACAAAGCGAAACGATTTGCTTCTCTAAAAAAAAGCAAATAATGAAAGTTTACACGTTTATCTCCCCCTACTTGGAAACCGCAAATTTCGCAAAAGGCAACGACTCTATGAAAGTGGCGATTTGTGGTGGAATGAAAAGATTCGGCGTCTTGATCTCCACTGACGATTTCCATCTTAGTACCTCGTTTCTAAAATTTAAGAGTTTAATTTAAGTTTAAGAAGAAGTACGTTTAAAGTTTTCACTTTTCAAAAGCTTATAACAATTTTTGATACTAAGGTAGTTGGGAGTCGACTTTTTTTTGTCTTCAAAACCACTTTTCTGGGGTTTCTGGGGTAATTTCATGCGTAGATTCCGCTATCGACTATTGGAGCACTTTTCAAGGTCAAAACTAGAGCCGAAACTATTTTTAACCACTTAAATATTCATTTTCTAACTTAAATTGACTGATAGAGGCAAAAGAAAATAAATGGTTTTGGTAAATAAAAAATGAGCCCCTCCCCCCGTCAAAGCCAATAGTACCCAAAATTTTGATACTTTGGTGGTTGGGAGGGTCCACTTTTCGCTTGCTTAGTCGAATCTAGTGTTTTGAGCGGCATTTATCGAAGATGAAAGAAATCTATGCTGAAGCGATTGGCGCTAATTTTAAAGTGTTTCCAAAATGTTTGCAAGTTATTATTGCAGCTTTTCAAGTGTAATCAGCTTTGAGAAAACGTTCGATGGCTATGCTGAAGTAAAGCCGGCTAGGAAACAGAGCAAATCATCGAATAGGATTATCAGCAGCCTAAACTAGCACCAATCGCTTCAGCATCGATCTCTCTCTTCAGAACTCGACATAAAGCGCCAAAAAACACTAGATTCGACTAAGCAAATGCAAAAGTGACCCCTTCCACCCAAGAAAGTATCCAAATTTTAAATGTTAGCACGCTGTATGAAAGAGCTAGCCATTAAAAACTAATTCTTGAAAACATTGCGCTATTTTGGTTTACCCAAGCACAAAAATCCCAGGTTCATAAAAACGAAAAAAAAGTTGGGGGATGGTCGCATGACCTGACCCGAACTTTTTCCAATCGAACCAAACGGCGTTTGTGATTAATATTTTTGCCTACGAACCCGAAAATCAGGCTTTTGATCGTAAGAATATCGCCTAGCGATGACGTAAAAAAAAGCTCAGGCTCAAAAGGACACAAACAGAGTGTGCTTGGGATAAATTTTCACAGATCACAGCTAACAGGTAACAGCTAACAGCTCACAGCTAACAGGTAACAGGTAACAGCTAACAGCTAACAGCTCACAGCTAACAGGTAACAGCCAACAGCTAACAGCTCACAGCTAACAGCTCACAGGTAACAGGTAAGATTTTGATTGCGTAAATCTACTTTAAACCATAAAACCCATTTAATTGTTACCTTTCTCTGATCAAAATCCTTGAGTTCTCATCGTGATTCTTTGTGCAATCGATCTCCGAATCGAGTCGACTTCGTCGTCTCATCACTAAAAACAAAAAAAAATATATTTAGACCTCAAAAATAAAGGCTCATTGAATCATATCAAAATTTGGCTGATTGGAGGAAAACTAATGGTTTAACTACGATAGTTTTCTCAAATAGATCCATTTTAGAAACACAAGAGGAACATTATTCAAGAGGAACTCTAATTCTGAATAGTTTTGGATGAAACGTTTTATTCTGAATAGTTTTGGATGAAACGTAATTTAAGCTCAGTTCTCTCGAAACCAGTTAATACCAAATAAACATCAAATATCAAGCCTTATCAATCAAAAAGTTTCTTATTTGGTTTCTTTGGCAAAAACGAATAGTTAACCAAGATATTAGGTTAGAAAAGAGTGGGAGTGGAGAAGAAGAAGCAGAAGACGAAGAAGAGGTGCTTGCTCTTGGCTTCAAACCAAGACCAAGATTTTTTAAAACAAGACTAAGATTGTTGCTTGGTTTCAATACCAAGCAACAATTGGTTCAAACAATCATTCCCCGAGATTAAGAAGACAGTTTTTGAGCTTCAGTTCAAGAGATTAACAATTGGGAATTTGAAACAAAGCGAGAATTTTAATCAACTTCAAACCAGAAATGGAAAAGAATATAAGGAAAAGAGAAGAAGAAGAAGAAGAAGAAGAAGAAGAAGAAGAAGAAGAGGAAGAAGAAGAGGAAGAAGAAGAGGAAGAAGAAGAGGAAGAAGAAGATGATGAAGAAGATGATGATGAAGAGGAAGAAGACGAAGACGAAGAGGAAGAAGACGAAGAGGAAAAAGAGGAAGAACAATTTTACAAATTTCTGCACACTTTCTCCATTTACACATTGCATAATGACTTAAACTACTTAAACTAAAGTATGAGATCTAAATTTTTCGAGTTTTTTTGAATTCATAAGTCAAATTACTAAAGTTAATAACAAAACATCGATTAATGCGCACATTTACATCTAAATGTTAAAAATTTCATTGAGTTGATCACCTTTTATTTGACACAACACCAAATACGAGACACACCTCTAGACGGCTACTCGAGGAATCTTTTACAAACCATCTTAACAAGTACACTTCCGAATTTTAAGACAAAGACAGATTTTAAGACAAATCTAGAAGTGACCTATATAAAGAAATTTGCCTTACCACCACCAACTTTAAACCTTTCTAACTTCCTTTAACTTCCTTTTCTTTCTAACGCACTTCTCGAGAGATTAACTTGTTTTGGTATAACAACAATAACAAAAACAATAAAAACGATTTTGTATCAGAAAAATAATTTATTGTGGTATCTATAAAAAAGCCGAAAAAAACCAACATCGACAAAGTGTGAAAACCCGTCAAAATAACACCAAAAAGCGACAAATCCAACTTATTATAAGCGAGAGAGTATGTGTGTGTTGTGTCTGTTCCGCTGTTTTTAGAAAAAACGGCTGAACTAGTCGATCTGAAAGTTGTTTGACATTACAAATCTAACTTTTTACATAGTTTCCAAAAATCTAATAATATTTGACACATAATTTGACCGTTTTCCCTAAAAAGCTAAATTAAAGACTACATGCTACCGCGTGGCCGAGTGGTAGTGCATCCCAGCCTTCGATTTGCCAAGTTGAGCAACCTTGGGCTTGGTTAGTCTCGGGTTCGATCCCGGCCATTTTGCTTTTTGTTTTCTTTGTTTTTACACTTTTTGATTAAGAAAGGTCACGGGTTCAATTCCTCTAGGGGTAAAGAAAATAAAATCCGTCTGCACGAAGCCAGAAAAACGATAAAACGGAGAAGCTATTGATGGACAAATTGAAATAAGACATTTTAGCAATATTAAAAGATAAGAAAAAGAGAAATGGAGATCAATGATGAATGGAGAACGATAAAGCAGCAAGACAACGAAGAAGTGAAGAAGTACGACGAGATTTCTCGGAGGTAAAGACTTCTAGCGAATTCGAGACATTCAGTGCGGGATGAGAAGCCGATTGAATCTAGAAAAGTTCATCAAATTTAAAACTTTAGCCTAAACTCACAAAAGCATCAGTCCTATTTTGCATCTCCATTTTCTCGAAAGCATCAGTGAGCGCCTAAAATGAATATAATTGATTAAGAAACAGAAAATCTCTCAATAAAAATCTCTATAAATCTCTCAATTAGATATGTTTGTGAATGGATTTTATAAAAGCCACAAATAAAATGACCAACCTCAGTCAATTGATGATCAAAACATAAATAAGTGAGCGAATCGAATGCATCGAGCACGTGTTGGGTGGAAATGTTCTGAAAAATGTGGCTTTCGTTTTGTTTAGAGACTTAAAAGCTTAAAGCTCATAGCCTTCTACAGCAAAAAAACATTCAGATCTCAGATCTCAGCTCTCAGCTCACCTCAGCAGCCACTTGATATTGCTCAAGTCTATAGTCGGCAAGGGTGATGAGTTGAGCGATGAGTGCAGCCAGTGTGTGCATTCCAATTGAAGTGAGACAAACTCGCATCCGATACCACATCTAAAAAGAGAAATTGGTTGAAAATGGAAATCATTTCAAAATTCAAACTCACCAAATCATTCAGCAACACCTCAGGAAATGGTTGCATCATTTGATTGTCCGTGCATGCACACAATGTCTCCATGTACAGCACCAATGCCTCATCGGTTTCACCTTTTGCTGAAAAGAGTTTTTGCTGTTTTTTTTCATCTTTATATACAGGGTTGAGCAAAAATTACCCAGATAAGAAATTTTTTTGAATGTTATTCGTCAATCGTTCCATAAAACTCCTATAATTCTTTTTCTATAAACTCTTAATTCTCTTAGAAAAAAAAGTAGTCACACTTTTCTAGGCTTAACTTTGTTTTTCTCGAGTTTTTCAGAAACCAAAAAGCGCTGAAAAGAAGGAAAACGAAGCTCCGTGCCAGGATCAATTTTACCCGATGCTTTGTGGATCGAAAAAAAGCCGACCAACGGATCTTTCCTATCAGTAATTTCCCAATAGGTTATAGAATGAATAAATCTATACTATGGAGAAAATTAAACGGCTAAGTTGGTTGACTGTAAAGTTCCAATGATGAACTCTTGTCCGGATAATTTTGCCTAACCCTGTAGTTCAATTAAAACTTACTGTAACGATAGTCAGCAAGACTCCTCAACCAAAAAGCATTCATCGGGTTGAGACGAAGACCAGTTGTGAGAGCCGCCAAAAGAGATGAATCGATAAAGTCCTCGTGAGCGTTCAGCATTCTAAAAAAAGGATTGTTTTAAAGAATACAGATTAAATAAGGATAAATCTCACTCAAGATTATTGTTCCACAGTTCTTTATATTGAAATTCGAGTGCAAGCGTCGGTCGATTCGTCGTGAAGAGATGACGATTGTAGAGATGGCACAAATGAGAGATCAATAGGGAGAGCTGCTCTTGTTCCTGGATAAAGACTAATTTATAAGACTGTCAAAGCTGCACTCACCGTCAACAATTTGATGAAAGCCAACAAATCGCCTCGTTCTTTTTCCAATCTTCTTCTCATCGCTTCATTTTCTTTTCTAAAAACGATTGCTTTGAAAATGATTGTTTTAAAAAATGTAATTCAAATTTACCCAGAGGCCGACAAAAAGATTCCATTCATATCGATGAAATGAGCAAAGCTATTCGTGAAGTCGACTTTTGTTGCATGCGGCTTTGTGAGTACCTAGAAATTGAGGGTTTGTAGTGCTCGTTTTATTCTATTTTACGGTTCTACTGGACTTGCTTGTCATCATAGCATTTCCAAATCCAAAACTTTAAATGAAATGGGGTACCATTGAAAATGTGTATCAATATATTTTTCAGCTCTTAAAAGTCAAATATGATTTCGTGCACGCTGCAAAAAAGTTTACTATACAAAAAAGTTCCGCCTGAAGCGCTTCGTCTCCGAGGTTGCTGGAAGTCGATGACCGGTAGGGACCCTTAAATTCACGATTCGCTTGGCGCCCAAGGAGGAACTCCAAGGATCAACTAGATGGAACCCCTGGGCGCCCAAAAACGAACTCAAAGACCGATTGGACGAGATGAATGAAAAGGCTTAAGCAGAAAGTTGATGCAAAAAATTTTTGCTAACATTTATGTTGTTATTACATTGGTGTTCGTTTTAATTGTTGATTAGTGTTAAAGTGGCAAGATTTTAGTTCACTCGTTGTGTGATTCGAGTGTACGTTTTTTAGTCTCTGCTACCCGATAAATCAATTCCTTTTTACAATGTGCACCAAATGTTAATTTGTGCGTTCGAGCAGTGAAAAGCGTAATGTAATGATGGTTTTCGTAGTGAGGCACAAAAGCAAATCTAACTCGAATCTTTAGCAAACTAGGCGGCAGCGAATCTTTAGCGTTAGCAGCACTAGTTGTTTCCCTAAATCATCAAAAACTCCAAAAATTCTCTACCTGAATCCAGGCAGCCAACAATTTCGCCAACATCAAATATGGAGCATCAGCGGCAGCGGTTTGTCTAAAAAAATTTTTTTGGAAAATTGTACAAATAAAACCCACGGTATATCGTTAAGCACCGAGTCTCCCTCATCGACATTCAAGAGGAAAGCGACGCACTAAAGTTGAAAAAATTAACTGCATTTGTTTATGCTTATGCTACTCACCTCAACCATGAATTCGGAGCTGCGTTTCTCATTGTGTTTAATGATTTTTTTCACCAGAATTACCTGTTCTCGAATTGCTGTTTCTAAAATGCGATAGGTTTATTGGATTATACAGAATGGTCAGTTTCTCACGTTCAATTGCACAATGCGCATATTGTAGTTGTCGATTCAGGGCTCGAGTTTGTACGATAATTGCCTAAAAATGCGATCATTATTTTCGACTCTTCTGCTCAGATATGCCTCTTTAAAGACGCCGTCTTGATGTGCCAAAATCGGGATTTGTTGGACGACACCATTCAGAAATTCTCTCCACTTTGGGATATTCTAAAAGCGTTTACTTGAAAAGGTTTTCTTTCAAAATCTTACCTGTAACCTTGCCAATTGTTCAAGTTTTCCCAATAACAAAGCATGG